GGGAGCCGTAGGCCGCCGTCAGTCCCTGCAAGGAGCCTCTCTGGCGCTGTCACCGCCTTTCCGGGACGGGCTGAGCTGCCCTCCTGGGTCGCCTTGAAGAATGAGGGGGCTTGGACATACAGAAGCAGGACGGGGTGGTTTTAAGGGTGCTTGGGGCTGGCAGGAGCCCGGTCGTCTTGGGAAGTGGCCGAAGAGCTTCAGATGTTTCACACTCCTGTCAGGGAGATGGGAGTAAAGCATCTGTAATGCTGAAAAGTTGCTGCTTAAAATCTGCGACTGGTGCGACCCCGGGGGTGAACTGGTCTTAAATAAGTTTCTGAATGTGGGAGTTGTGTGGCTTGTGAGGAGCTAGGGACGATGGGAGGAGGGAAGGTGACGGGAAAAGTCTGAGGGAAGTTGGGCCTGCGTTTGACGCGTGCATGGATGCTTTTCAGCGTTGCTCAAATGGCTCCTGCAAAGAAAGGTGGTGAGAAGAAGAAGGGACGCTCTGCCATCAATGAGGTGGTAACTAGGGAATATACCATCAACATTCACAAGCGGATCCATGGCGTGTAAGTTCTTGGGTTTTATCAGTGAAATTGGCCTTACGTAAAGTGGCGTTTGGAAATGGGTTCGGTAGTTTTAAACTGCAGAGAACGACAGTCCTTACCTGCACCAATGCTAATGCGTGATGTTTGAGTCCCTTGTGCTACAGCTGTGTACCGAGGAAGCAGCTGTGTACCTGTGCAGACTTATACTTGCAGGTGGCTTTCAGGAACAAGCTTCTTTTTTTTTTTTTTTGTGAGTGTTCGTGGATGTAATACGAAGTTAGAGCTATTTACCTCCGTGCACAGGTTGTCAATCTTTCCCAAGCGAAGTTTAAAATTTAGTCCATTGTAGTAAGTTTCAGAAATTAAATATTGTTATAATCAAATGATTGGCTCCGTGCTTATCACTAAATTGTGTGAGGTGTAAATTGGGGTATGATTTGAGTTAAACAATGTTAGTTGTGTGTAGATGAGAGTAACTTTTTACCTGACAATATGTTGAACCTCATACAAGCGTGTAGTAGTGAAGTGCTTGAGAGGACTTGTTGAGAAACTGCATCTCCCTTTGATTCTCTCTGTATGCGTGCGGCTGCCGTCACATGGAACAAAACTATATCTGAATCAAAACAACTGGTGAAATTGCGGAAGTTAACTTGGAGTAGGAGAGAAATGAGACAGTGGACTATTACAAAACTATGGGTGAGGATGGGAGGCAGTGGTACCTTTAAATGGCAATAAGATGTTCTGGCCTTGCCTGTTGATAGTTTATGGCAATTCAGTCTATTCTTAATGATGACAATCCTGCTATCCTCTTTTCTTTTGGGGTTATCCTCTTTTCGCTTTAGGCACGAAGTACTAGGGGGGAAATACTTTTTGTTTAATGCTTGTCTTGCTTGTAATCACTCACCCACCCCTGATTTCTAGCACTAAATATCAACAGTAGTGTACAAATAATACTAAACGTAGCCCACTGTGGGACCTTAGACCCTACTGCCACTATAGCCGCATGTCACAGTGTGGGTATAATACCTACAGCAAAGCACTTGCGGTGCAGCTGTAACTTTCAGTGTAAATGCCCAGTCATGCAGAATCTGCCCGTAATAGGCATGAGACAAGCTATATTTGTAAAAAAAAAAGTTCTGATGGTGGTCCAGTCATGATGACATGAAGAAAGTAACCATCAAATACCGTTTAGCAGAAGCTGTTACTCAGAATAGCATCAGTTTTGTTCTTCTGCTGTTTATTTCTATACTGAACAGTTCTGTCAAGTTTGTATTACCATTGTTGCACTGCTGTTTTCATAGGCCTTTCATTTAGAGTATCTGTGAAAGGTCTGATCTCTTCAGTCATACTGCAAGAAGTTTTCATGTCAACGTGTTATAAATAAGACTTAAGATCCGGGAGATCTTGCAGTTGCAAAATTTTACGGAAATTCTTAGGCATAACTGTATGTGGTTTCTATTAGGCATAGACATTAAGGTTAGCAGCTGCCTACCAGGGTAAAGGACTGTTCATACTACGATGCAGCTATTGAACTGCTGTTGAACACAATTCTTTCAATTCTATGTTTAGAGAACGTCAGTGGTTGAGTGCTGCAACAAGTGTCCGATGCTGGCAGTTTCCTGAAGTTAAAGAAATTGCTCTTGTGTTTGTCCTAGGGGCTTCAAGAAACGAGCACCGCGTGCTCTCAAGGAAATCCGTAAATTTGCGATGAAGGAAATGGGTACTCCTGATGTTCGCATTGACACTAGATTGAACAAAGCAGTCTGGGCTAAAGGAATAAGGTAGGTTTCTGCAACTTTCCTTACTGGGTGAGGAAGAACCTTTTAACTGTGCATGTGGAGGTGCAGGACTTGGAGGGGTAGAAAAATTTGTATCCTTCTTGCAGCATTTGCATTTTCTTTGCAAATGCTTCCTTTCTTACAATGTGCATGCCAAGCTAACCTTTCTGTCACCGCTACGTTCTGGTCAGCTCCCTCAGTGTACTTGTAGCAAAGCTTCAGTAAACTCTGGAACTGAAAGAACTTTGTTCTACCTCTAATAAGAATAAAGCAAAGGAAAGAAGGAATGCAGGTTTGGGGGTGGGGGGCAGGATTGGGGTATTGTAATACTGTATTACCCCAACCCCTATTATAGCAGACAGTTTTTAGAAACATGGCTTTTTAGTGCTACCTACAGTCCCAGGCTTAAGTACCTGAGATTTGTGTAATGTGTCTGAACAGGATTAGGTTTCGAAGCATGCTGAGTTGATAAATGCTACACAAAGAAATAATGAGGTGTGTTTTAAATAGGGCCATTAATCTTGTCTTGAAAGTACAAGTAGTTTGGGGGCCAAAAAATCACAGCTTCTCTTAAATCGCTGCTACAGAGGCAGCTTATATGGCATTTGGCATGCATGAAGATGGTCCAAAGGGTCTCCTGTGAGGAGTGGGACCTCTTAAACCATAATGAAAGGTTAACTGGTAGGGATTAATACTGTGAGTGATACACTGGCTATGCATGAACCCTTGTTTTAAACCACGTCTTCTAGGAATTAGATTCCTGAGTCTAGCCTATGACAAATTTACAGTCCTTTACCTGGAGTTTTGTGCTTAGGGCAACCCCTCCTTCAAAAACAGAGTGGGAAGATGGAACTAAGTTACCAGATCTTCTGGGCAGGGGTTCTCTGTCCTTCCTGTTAAGCCATTCCAGTTCATACACAAAGAAGAAGTAGCAATTGAGCCAGGTGACAGCATAACTTCAGAGCTTAGTAGTGAGGCTCCTAACCAAGACTTCCTTATATTAACTAGTAGAAGTGTGTTCTGTGGAGCAGGGAGTCATCACATCTGTCTTTCCAGCCTGAGTTTAACTGCAGTTTTCACTAGTTAGAATAGATAATGTATGCAAAGTAAAATATCTTCCTCTGGAAGGATCAGGAGAGGCTAAAATCACCATGTCAGCTAGTGTGATAGTCAGTGATCTAAGGAGTGAAAAATGCTTTTGATTTGTTTCAAGAAGGGAGTAGATCGAAGCAAGTTCCTGTGTCTTAATTATTGCATTCATCTGATTTAGTAAGTATGCTCTGAGAACGTACAGCAAGGAGGAGGTTCCTTCTCATGTTCTGTGGAACAAAGTACTCTGAACAGGAGTTTCCCAAAATCCTGAGTTCATTTGAGGGGGGATGTTACTTTAAAAATGGTGTGGACAAATAATTTTGTGCCTTCCCTCAGCAGCGTATTTTGGGCAGTATTAGGTAAGGATGCTTTGTGAGGAAGAAACGTTGATCAGTTATATGCCCATAAACAAGATCTTGGTTCAGGTCTAATGCTCACTAGAATTTCCACGCGACTTCTGGCATACAGATTGGGCAGTACTCTGACTGTTGACAGGGGCTTCAGGCTTTCAGAACAGATTGTTGTTGGGTTTTTTCCTCACTATTTTCTATTCGAGTAAGAAATGCTTGTTAGTAACAGCTGCTTGCTGATCATATTCACGCTGTGCTTCATGATCATCTTCATAATGTATTTCCTGGATCAGTAGTGGACTGATGATGCACTTCTGACTTTTTGCTCCCACTGGATTATGGATTCATCTTATTCAAGGCTCAGTTAAATCTTTCCTGCTCACTTTAACAAAACAAAAAAAAAGCTCCTCCAGGGCAAACAGTACAGTCTCTAAGGCCCAGGATTTCACTCTTACGATGCTGAGATAGGAACAGAATTGACTCATCATGTCTTTGCACAAATAGACAAAGCTTAAGAATTTGGGGGGGGGTGGGTAGTAACCATGGAGCAAAGAACTTTTCTATGAATTAACAGGTTTTATACATATTTTATTGAAAAATAATCTGTTGTCCTTATTTTAGGAATGTTCCTTACCGTATCCGTGTGCGTTTGTCCAGAAAGCGCAATGAGGATGAAGATTCACCAAACAAACTATACACACTGGTTACCTATGTACCGGTCACAACATTCAAAGGTAAGGTTGCATGCCGTCTCTCTTCATCCGTGCCATGTTTTTCTGAACAAGTAGCAAAGTGGGACAGCTCCTTCTGCAATGTAAAATTCAGATGAAAAGCATGCTGAAGGGGTCAAACTGCTGGCTTAAACTAGCTCTGCTGTAGAGAACAGGGCTGCTAGCTTGCCTGATGAGCATTAAAAAGCAAATACAGAATTCAGTGAAATAATCCTGTAAATTTTGAGAGAATAAAAAACACTGGCCATAGTTGTTAAGGTAGTTTAAGGTTTGCGTTTTCCTACATAAAGTACATCCTCTGATGTCAAAAGCTCAAGCAGGTTGAGCCTTTTCTGCTTGTTATCTGGGAAATATCTTATTTGCGGAATTGATTTAACATGAAGTTTTTAACATTTGGCAAAATACTTGCCTATACAGTTTGCTCACCTCAGCTTTGAAACTGTAGGTGCACTTGTGAATATACGTATATTGCATATACATAAAGGAAATTGTGCTAGTAATAGGTGGTGATAAAATTTCTTGTTTTGCAGGTCTACAGACAGTCAATGTGGATGAAAATTAAACTGATTTTCATTGCAATAAAAGGATAAAAAGAAAGTTTACTCCTAAGTTGTTTTTTTTTATTGTCCAGTCTCTTCAAGCTCTCATCCGTGAAGTGTTGAGTTGAACAGGTGACTAACTCTTAAATTATCTTGCTTTCTTTGGGCTTGTACATAATGGTGTAATTTTCTTAATGAAAGATACTGTAGACTTCTGTTAGATCTGAATGGAATGAGGAGGGGATGCGAATGTTCCTATGTGGGTGGCAAAGTCCTAGTGTTCTTGTTCTGTTCCTGTGGGAATAAAGATTCACTACATAGGTATTTTAAGGTAAGGCCAAATTTGTTTTAGAAAACAAAACAAGCACTGCCCCCTCCCCCGCCAAAAAAAACCCACCCAAAAAAACAACTCCTGTTAGATCAGTTCTTCATATACGTAATCTCTGGTGGATGAAGTAAACTCCCTGCATTTGGTCCCCCGCTGGTCTCCTAGGCAGAATCAGTAGACTTCTCTCAAGCAAGTCTGTGCACTGCACGGAACCATGGGGTTCTGACCAGTGAATTAATTGTGAGCGTGCTGGCTTAGAGAATTTGTGTAATGAAGTAGGGACTAAAGGCACTTAACCTTCCATAAATCAATAAATACTGTCAATGCAAGTCTAGTACAAAAAGGGTTTATTGAAAAGTGCATGTTTTCACAGACCAACATCGGAAGCATAGTCCATGTACACTTAACATTTCAGCAAGACATACAAATTGGAATACGATCAAATATATTAAAATAGTTTCAATTACCAGCATTGAAACAGTTTTCAGTATTAGTGCAAAAAAGGCAACCCAAACAAACTGCGGACAGTAGCTGAGAAGTGTTTTCCCGTTTAAAAAAAAAAAAAAAAAAAGGACAACTGGAGCCAGCCTCTGCTCTCCCTGTGCGGAAGAGGGCTTCAGTGTCTTCACACTGTAGACAGATGTTTCCTTTTACATTCAAAACAAGAACATAATTAATAAATCAATGGCACAAAACAAACCTACACACCCTTTAGCTTTTAAAGCTCTTAAACTGAAAACCACAGACCAACAATTTTTTTATCAAAAGTCCACTGCTAACTGAAAGCCTTTTACAGTATGTGCTTTGGCATAATTTCAGTGCATTTCATTTTTGACAGATTTGCTACTACTGCGTGTTTAGTTTTGTCTGTTCACCCCGTGACTGGCAGCTCATTCCATTTGTTTTGAGACTATATTGATTTAGCTTTGCATTCTCAAGTTTTGGCTTTAGTTCTAAGGGCTTTTCAAAGAAGTTAACTAACGACTGTTCAGTCAAGAGGGATGCTAAAATATGTTCAAAAGAGACAGTCCAGTCCCCTTCAGTCACAGGTGAAGGTTGAGAGTCTTTGTGAGGGGTCTTCACAGTGTCAGTAAAAACAGCATCCTGATCTGAAGCAGAGGCCTCGGGCTGCGAGGTCTCAGGCTGTAAGTCCTCAGTGAACTCGTCCGATCCGCTCCCCAGGCTGATGCTTCTTTGTCCTACTTCTCCAATCTGAAGTAACAGCGTGGTCACAGTGGCAATGGCTTGATACAAATCATTCTCCTCTGGATCTTCATGAAACATGCTATACAAGGTTTTGCAGAACTGAATGAATTCCCTCTGTAAAGGATGAAAAACCAAAATCAAACTATTGAACAGCCACGCTATGGGTAACTAGGAGTCAGGCGAGGGCACAGTACTGCAAAGGCAGGCAGAATGCTCTGTACAGACTTGAACGTTTGTAACTGCTGCCTGCATTTTAAAAGATGTTCGCGAAGGGATTTCAACCCCCACTGATGCTAGGAAACCTTGGTGCTGCAAATTAGAAAGGGAACAGGGCAGAAAAGTATTTTGCTGCCTTGATGAAGGAGATCAGGACCTCTCAGATGACCAAAGGGCAAGTGAGATAGGACGCAAGAGATGATTGATAGATCTGTTACTGGTGGAAAACTGGTGGCTGTTACACAGAACAAACTGCAACCAGAGTAGCCACCCACAGGCTTGCAAGCAACTTCCCTTCTGCCGTTTCTCTCTCTTTCCCGTCTTTTTCTTGTAATAAAATGCAGACATCGCTGCCCAACCCCTTTCTCTCCTTCCTTCCTTCCCTCACTCACCCATCACAGATGATTACTAGGCTATGAGAGGACATTTCTGTATCCTATTATGAAATTTGTGAGCTCTTGAGTTTCTTACAGTCACAGGATGGATAATTCAGGGCAAAGGGACCTCAGAAGTTCCATCAAGTGATGTCTTTATGAGAGATTATGCTGAGCTGAAAGGTTGGGTATATGCCAACAATTTAAAACTTTATTTAGCAATGCCAGCACAGAAGGGATTCTGGGTGTAGTCCCATCTTTCTTTGCATGTTCGTACATTTGTTTTACTAATACAGGACCCTTTTCCCTCCAGTAGATTTCCTCATGCCAACAACATACACAAAGCTCTACTGGCATTAGGGAGGAGATGGTAAGATGATGAGAGCCTTCAGCTGTCAATGCAGTTCTTCTAGTCAGCATTTGGCTATGACAGGTCAAGTCCCAGTTGGTGATGGACTAAGAAGTCACCAGTTTGGTGGAGAGGAGGTCAGGGAAGACAGAACAGCAATATGCATTCTCAGGAATGCTCTGGGCTTGGCAGGAGGGCTTTTTCCAGCCTGAATGAGCCTGTTTTCCAGCCTGTTACGCTGCAGATGAGGGTAAGTAAGTCTGAAATTCTTTCTATTCACCAGGCAGTCTGAGGCAAGGGAGCTGCTAGAAAGGTGGTTGAGGGTTTTTAAACATGATGCCTGCTCCCTGGATCAGAGTAGCCCAATCCTTGATATCTGAAGGACTGAATCTAAGCTCAGGCTTAAGTTACACTTTCTCAGAAAGAGCTAAACTGTTTGTATTTAGTCATTTCATTTTTGAGTACCCTCCACTTCTTTAAAAACAGACCATAGCCCCTAGTATACATACCTGGCTCATTTTTGGCAATTCTTTTTCAGTTTTGGTATCCTTTTCTTTGGCTAGATCCTTCAGCATCTGCTTCAACTGCTTTTGGTAATCTACTGCATCACCTTTTTTGGAGCAGATACAAAAAGGAGAATTAGTTTTCAAGTCGCTGGAGTAAATTGACATTTCAAAATAAAACCCAGAGAGCAGAGATAATGGAGTCGGTTATCTCATATGCACACGCATTAGAGAACCATTTTGGACATACCATTTGCTTTTCCAATGACTAGTGGTCTTGAAGTTGACAGCAAAGGATTCTTTAATGGTGACTGGCTGTCTCGCTCATTTTCTGTGAGAGCTAGCCAAAAAAAGTGACAAATGTAATGATGTATCCTTCCAATGCTACATAATGGTTATATATTTATGCTTTTAAAATTTACATATTTGAAGAAAGCAAAATAATTGGGCAAAGATGTTTTTAAACAGTACTTCATTATACTGTAAAATTATGTTAATGTAAGTAAGACTGGTGGCTGCAGTGAGAGAGTTGGAAATCTGCCAAGAATGGCACAGTTAATTAAAAACTTTGCAGAGAGAAACTACCACAGAATTTTGTCACCTAATCAGAACTGGATCAAGATGCGATAAGGAGATTTCTACTGTGCATGGAGTACCAGCCATCCAGAAATGTTATTCCATATAATTGGCTGCAAAAGATCTCCGAACGCAGCAGATGTGAGCCTTGACATTGTGTATCTATAAATTTCACCCAAAAAGGTTTTGACTGGAGTAAATTTCAAAATGCGGTGAGCATAACTACAAATGCAAATCCTATAAGCTCCCAGCTGAAGGAAGCAAGATAGGATTCTTCATTAAGCAGCCTTTTCCCAAAAGCTTTAAGCAAGAGTTTTGAGGCAAACTGAGGTATTCACTCCCTTTCAAATTTCTTACCAGGTGGGATATGCAGCTTATATAGTAACTTTATCTTTTCATTCATTTCTCCATTATACATAACATCTGCAAGAAAAAAAAAAAAAGAACAAGAAGGAAGTGGACCAGAGCATTTACTTCCACAGTTTAAAATAAATCAGGCATTCTCTGTGCACAAAAAATAATTGTTTGCACTGGACAATACATGAAAACATATGGTCAGTATATTACAGTGAAATATTTCAAGTAGTGCCTGTCAGTGAGGAACAGCAGGTGAGAGCCATCTGGTTTGGTCTTTGTTCTTGTGAGTGGGAGTACCTAGCCCTGTGAAGCTTCAGCATCGTTTAAAAATATGAAGGAGAATGGCAGGCAATCTAGCAAAGGCTGTTTGCTGCCACAGATTAACAGGACTGTGAGAGGAGAGAGACAGAAAACTCCCTTTGGGGCCATCACATTCTTAATATTTCTGCCCTTCAGCTCTTACTGCTTTTCTGTAGCATAAGGCCAGAAGAGGTAACTACTTCACATGTAATACAATTCACGTTTTCAATGACCAGTAGAAATGAGATTCTAAACTTCCAAATGCACTGAAACACTGTGAAAAACTTAATTTTTAAAGTTGTATCCCTCTAAGACTCAAAATCATGTAACAATATAATACAGGTTGGCTTGGTTCACATAAAAAAATTCTAGAAAGCTTAAGTGGCGAGAATACTGATTTACTGATTTTTAATGAAGCTTTGAACGTTGATTCATTTGTTTCACGTGGCATCAGGCAACAGTTGAGATGTGGCTCCTTCTTCTTCAGCCAGATTTTGGGACGGGCAGCCTCATCTCATTAGAACAGCTGGTGGCCTCAAGACCAACCCAGCACAGCTCTCGGTCCCTGCTGGCCAGATTGTTTTTTGTTCTGCTTATTGTCAACATAGAAGGCATGCAGCAGTCAGTTGTGTTAAGATTAAGTCTTCAAGAAGCAGTTACAAAGAGGTATACTGAGATTTCAAAGATATACTGAGAGCAACAGTCCGGTAGAGAAGATTTCCTAGCCTTCCGCACAGACCCAAGTATAATTTTAATTCATAAAATATTTTCAACAAAATTACTATTGTCCGAGAAATCAAATATTTTAATACAATATTCGATCATGTCCTTAGGCTGTCTTTTAAATCTAATCGACTTCAGGTGATTTGATCACAAAGAATTAGTAAAGGTCACTGGTCAGGCTAATTACAAGCCCAAGAAAACCATCTGCCCGCATCCTCCCCTGGCAGCTGCATGGCATTTCAACATCTGTG